TAGGATATGTAGTTCAATCAAACTTACTTTTAAGTAGAGTTTTACAACATTTGTGCAAGAAAAACATGATTCTAGAGCAGCTGATCTTGGCAGGTCAGTTTTAATCTTTACATTGGGAAACATTCTAGCCTTTCATTTACACTTGAAAGCAAAGGTTTTGGGGATTTTTGGGGTTTGGGGTTTTTTTTTTTTAACTTAGCTCATGATGATACTGATCATTAGAAAGGGGCATAGGAAACAGCACCAACACCTGATCTAAAAACAGAAGGACAGTGGGGGACAGCTGTCATTCAGTGCAATGAGACAGAAAAGGTGAAGGTAGTTAATAGAGTAAAACAATCAAAGGCAGGAGATTGGACCAGATTATTTTCAGCATCTGTCACTTCATCTGCTGCTTCCTCCTTTTGTTTGAGTGATAGTTCTTGGCTTTAGAACAGCACTGGGAACAGCATCCGGCAGTTTTAAATGCTTCACATCCTTCCATTCTTCCACCCTCATTAAGAATGTCCATCTTGAATTTATCCCAAATATATCACACTCCATTCTAGAAGTTTAGCAACCAGAGGAGAGATTCTATGGAAGTGGAAAGGAAGTGTTAACTGAGAGCATTTTAATGAAGTTACAGTTATGTGCTAGCAATAAAAAAGCAGAAGAATAGAAATCAATCTATTTCTGTTGTGCATATAGTGCTCTCCACATCAGTTCAAATACACAAAAACATTAGGAGAAAGTAATAGGCATTACTACAGAATTGATCAATTAGGATTGGGGTTGATTAATTGATGGGCATGTGATACGTTAAGAGTTTCAGTGAAATAAAACAGTTCGCTTCTTGTACCTTTCCAGTTCGTGCAAAATTAAATTCAGTGGAAGATATATCTTTAAACTTCAGGCCATTTTTCGCTTTTTAAAGACACAGACATTGCATTAATATAGTACTTGCATTTTTCATGAATGATGACTGAAAGCTTGTCTGTATAACAAGATGCTTCTTGTGCAGGCAGTCTTAGGCTTACAATAATTTGTTTAGCAACTGTTCAAATGGCATTGAAAAAAAGTGGCCTACAACCAGTTCTCATATTTATGACCATCATAGCATCCCCAAGTCACATGATCAAAATTTGGGGAGCTTGGCAACTGTCAAACTCACAACATCATGTGATGTGTCACGGCATATCGTGACTTTTTTGCCATTGCCGGCAATGGCGTGGGCATGGTTTCGCTATGATGCATCTGGCCCTTGGGCTGGAAGTTTGACACCCCTGCCCTAGAGTGATCACCATTTGTGGCCTTCCCAGTTGGGTGCCAAAGAACAGAGTCAATGGGGGAACCCAGATGTGCTTAATGACTGCATGATTGACTTAACAACTGCAGTGATTTGTTTAACAGCCATGGCAAAAAGTTCATAAAATTGGGTGCAATTCACTTAACAACTGTTTTGCTTATCAACAGAAATTCTGGTCCCCATTGTGGTCATGAGCTGAGGATTACCTATATATCTGCATTTCATTCTAGAATCCATTTCTTCACACACATCATTTTCAGAAAAGCAACCCAGCTGCTTCCACTTTCTTCAGCATGGATGCCTTATTTTAGATCACATTTGCAGTCAAGGGAATTGCTAAAAATTCCCAAAACTGCCTGCCAAAAGATGAACAAAGAATGTTATTTTGACACATGGATGTTAAAATATTATCCAGCAAAGTATTTGCAAAAGAAGCATAACAACCATAAACAGTTGCTTTAAGGTCCAGGTGGAATATCTATTGAGTTCATTGAAAGCATGAACAAATTGGGGAAATTTTTTTTGATGAATTGAATAAAATGATTAATAAATTTATATGGCAAGGTAAAAAAGCATGAATAAATGTTAAAGTGTTACAGGATAGTAGAAGTAGAGGTGGCCTTGGACTCCCAAAATGGGAAATTTACTATCAAGCAGCGGGATTGCTCTGGATCAGTGACTGGATAAACCTAGAAAACAAAAGGGTCTTAACAATTGAAGGTCATGATTTACAGGCTGGCATGCTTTTCTATGTGAAAAAGATAAGAAAACTCATACATATTTCCTCCAACATCAGATAAGGGATGCATTAATTTGGATATGGGAAAAAGTAAAAAAAAAAATATACGAAAATTCCAATTTGGATCTCACCAATGGAGGCGATGATCCATCCAAACACATTAGATAAAACAAAGATGATAAGGTACAAAGAATTATTAGACAACCAAGGGAAGCTAAGATCAAGAGATGAATTAAAAGAACAGAGAATAACTATTGACTGGTGGCCATATACACAGATAAAATCAAAATATAATAAGGATATGGAGGAATATGGGATATGTCGGACATTACAACAATTGGATAAAATATTGACAAATAAGGGAGAAAAATTCTTAACAAAAACTTATAAACTACTATTAGAAATTGAATTGGAAGAAGAAATAGTAAAGGGCCCGAGAACATACCAACAAATGCAATGATTGTAGATAAGATATTAGACTGTGCTGAGATGAACAAACTTTCCTTAGAAATAAACGACAAAGAAGCTATAGAATTTTACGAGGTATGGGACATGTATTATAACTGGCTAGAATTGCAGAATAAAAATGTACGAGAAGTAATGTAAATAAATGTAAATAAAAGTAAGAGATATAGGACATAGTATTGTTAAAGGAAAAGGAAAAATGTATTGTATATTATGTTTGTTTGTAAAAAAAGAAAAAATAAAAATTAAAAAAAAAGAAAACATGAACAAATTTTAATAAGGTAATCATGGTTTTCTGAGAAGCTGGTAAATTCCTGTTACATTGGGAATGACATAATGGTTTTGTTGTGTCTCTGCTGCTGCTGCATTAGGAATGATTTTTCTCATGAAATGCATGTTTGTAGCTCAGATCTCTGTATGTACCAGGATTTATCGGGGTGGGGGTGGGGGTGGGTGAGGTTTCTGCTCAATATTGTTTTAAATAGAGGATTGCCATTTCTTTAAAAATGTTAGGATTCAACAAGCTTCCAGATTGCAGTGATTTGAACAGCAGTCTCCTCAAATGAAGTAATATGTTTTGCTTTTGGAAATGTTTCAAAATATTATTTGCATGCTTCTTTTACCTGCATATGAAAAGAAGCATAAGCAGGGGAGATCATTCATTCATTCATTCATTCATTCATTCATTCATTCATTCCATAATATTTATAGCCTATCCCAAATATTCACTGGAATAAAAATAACAATCCCTTAAAAGAGCATTTCTTAAAGTGTGGTTTGAGGACCTCTAAGGGTACCCAATCATCTCTCAGGTGACCACAAAATCAAAATAATTTGCCAGTAATTATTAGTAAAGATATTTAAAGATAATTTAAAACAAAGTCAATCTTTTCATTCTTTATTGGTTAAAAATATAAGGGGGGATATTTTTTATGAAAAATACTTTATGGTAATATCTAATGGGTTTAACAATGTTATTATTACATGATTCAATAAATAAATACTCTGTGATGCATCAATTTTAATACTATAAGTATTTTTTCACTAGAAGTAAAAAAAATGACTCAGACACATACACACACACACGCGCACACACACACACAAACAAGCCCTATGCTATACTTCCTTTTTGAAAAGGAAAAAAATGGAAGAATCTCTGCCATATCCTCTCTATTTTTAAAAGGAACAAAACAGAACTATTTATTACTTGATTGACTTTGCCGCCTTACCCATTAAAAGCATCTTCCAGATTCCTAGCAAATAAACTATGTTTTTACAACTGTGTAAAGATGGGAAGGTTAAAATTAAGAAAGGAATAGACAAATTCAGTAAAACTGTGCATGAAATGGCTTGGTCATCTGGCTTCATCCCAAGCAGACAGTAACAATTCTGAATAGGGACTATAGCCTTTTCTAGGCCAAACCATTTGTTCCTCATTGGAAACTCTAAGCTTAAAAGTGTTAATGTCAGGACAATTAAATGGCTAGACCCAGGCTATAATAACCACAACAACAGACTTCCTTTGGTAGTCTAACCCTCCATGAATTTAATAAATATCATCCCTCCCCCTCCCAATTTGAAATAATTTTATGGCAACCATTGAAGATAGTACAAAACATTGGAGGACTTTATGCAGTCTTGTGCCAATGATTGTGGATGGGTGTACACAGAGGAATAAAGAAAATATCTTAACAAACCTATAGTATTCACTATAGGTCAGGGACAGTGAGAATGGAAGAGCTTAGAGTTGTTTAGTTAATTGTATGCAATGTGGTCATTTTATTAACAAGATAATTTCTATATTTCATCCTATTCAGCTTCTCAAGTATCCTCTGCAGTAGTTTCAATAAAAAAAACTGATGAAAAAAGTAAAATAAGTCAGATCTACAATTCAGTGGTGCAATCTGTTCAAATTACAGTATACTTTATATTATTAATAATAAGTAATGTTGTGAATTAATCAGTTTTCTACCTTGCCTTTTCTCTAAAAGCTCAAGATGGCATCTAAAACACTACATTTTTTTTTTCCTCACAACAATAATCCAGTCAGGAACTTGGGCTGAGAGAGAGTGATTTGCCCAAAGTCCGCCAGGGATTTTCTATGGATGAGAGTGGATTTGAAGTCTCCTAGGCAGCCCAGTTGTTAGTTCAACCAATATCTTAATTGCTATATCAAACAAAAGATGGACAGACAGACACAGAGTAACTATTGATAGAACAAGCAAATTAAACTATTTATTTAATAGTTCAAGTTTATTTAATTGTTTAAGTTTCCCAGGCTAAATTTAATGGTAACCATGTTCAGTGCTTTTGGTAGTTAATTAGAGGGTAATACAGGACACTTAACATTGTTATTTGTCCATTTGAGAGCAGTCAAATTTGTTGCTTCCATATCAACAAATAAAATCAGTAAATCAACCCTAATCTCATTCCGTTAAATGTGCTTGGAATTAAAGTGTTCATGATGGTGTTGATGTTTAATAATTGAAACTATTGAAATTATATACATTGTTGACGTGTAATTTAATGCCAACAGCATTTATTTTGAAATTAATTGATGCTTTGATATAAAAACATATGATTTTTAGTATACAAATAGGCAATCATTCAAGAAAAATCAACATATACAACATTCATGTAATTTAACCATATTATAAATATGTTTTATCAAATATATGTCCTGTGACAATGATTGAAAGGCTCTAGATGATAAACAATAGAATAAATAAAATGCAATAATACCAAACAAAATTATTTTAGAAATACCTTTAAAAATCTTAAAGCAATACATGGCGTAAGTCCCCAAAGTTGAGAAACAGGTTATCACTTGATGTTTGTGTACATCTGTTTTATTTTTCATTTATTTTAAACAGTCCTTGATACTGAAATGATAGTTTATTATCATTAGGCATCGTGGTGGCTCAATGGTTAGAATGCAACATTGCAGGCTGACTTTGCATTCCACTGCCAAGAGTTCAATCCTGCTCAAAGGTTGACTCAAACTTCCATCCTTTCAAGGTTGATTCAAACTTCCATCCTTTCAAGGTCTGTAAAATGAGAACACAGATTGTTGGGGCCCATAGGCTGACATTGTAAACTACTTAGAGAGTGCTGTAAAAGCACTATGAAGTGATATATAAGTCTAAGTGCTATTGCTATAATGCATAAATGTTTGTTCCCCCCTCCCCCAAAAAAACCTCTACAGTTGCAAGAAAGTGGTAGGATGAGGGGAGGGAAGGAAGTAAGATGAGGATACTCACAAAAATTTTCAGCAAATTGTTATTTTTTCAGATAATTTCAATTGTCCAGCAACAAACAAAATCTTTTCACTTAAGGACTTCTGGTTCTGCCCTGTAGCGATCCAGCCAAGGGATTGTGGAGCTCCACACCCCAGGGCTGATTTTGCCCTGCCAGGGGACCCTAAATGGGTCAAAAGTCACCCTGGAGAAGCGACAAAGAAGGAGGGGCACCTTGATAATCACAAAAGAATGGTGGTCGATCTACTCAATCCGGGAGAAGCCCTCCAACCTGACTGGTGAAAAGCTAGCTGCACATGAGTGCCTAGCCCAAGCTACAAGCAGCCGAAGTCCAAAAGCACGAAATAGAACAATGGTGAACAGTGTGCTTGAAACTGGGTGAGAATATTGATCTTCTCTCTTTTATTTTGTAACTGATTCCCTGGGGAAAATCCCCAAAGCAAGAAATCCTCCAAAAGTTAGGGAGGGGACTAAATCCCCACCCCTCCATAGCAGAGAATTAACTTCTAAGGGGGAAAGAAATATACTGAAATGAAACTAATAACACCATAGTCTGGGTAAATCTTAAAATTAAGAAAACCGTTAAGATTTTACACCCTAAAGAGTTTCAATGAATTTATAAAAAATAAAACAACAATTTTATTGTTTGAAAAAGTTGGAAAATAAATAACTACTGACATCTAGTGGAGAATCAGAGCATAGAGCAACAGCAACTCTGACTCAGAAATTGGCAAATTCCCAGAACCAAAGATTAATCTGTTCCCTTGAACTTTAATAACCTTCTGCCAAATAGAAAACAGCTGAGAACAAAGAAAGAAAATATACTGGGCAATTTATAAGCTAAAAAAAAGTGTCTGCAGAAAAGGAAAACTTCAACTGTTGTCTTAGCTCAAGAATTGTTTGCAGAAAAAGAAAATTTTTGACTCTTGGCTACTCTTCTAGGGGGAAACTTACTAGAAGGCTTCAAGGTGGCTAAATACTCTAGATTGCAACTATGACTGGTTGATAACTGACCTCTGAATAGAAGAATTGTTATAAAATACTGCTTTCACTGATATCTTGACAACTAGAAATGCATTGGATTACAAAAACCATATATAAAGATAAGAAGTATATAAGATTTGGTGGTTTGGATTTTGAGATTGGCTGGTTTGATAAGGCTAATTACAGAGACTATGGTACTGGTGAAAGACTATTTGGAGGGGGGAGATGAAATGAATATTGCATATTTATCTAAAAGGGACAGGAAACCACACCAAATATTCCCTTCTGAAAGATCTAGTCTGGAACATTAGAGATCTGCAGGAATAATACTCCAAGATGAGACAAGAATTTTTCAGGAGAAAATGTATGCAATGCTACAACAGATTCAAATGACAATAGTTTCAAACCATGATGAAAAACAACTTTGATGACATAAATGAGCACATCTTCAATCTAAACTTACAATTAAAAAACTCAAAAAATGATGATAAAGAATGAACAAACAAATCAGATAACCGAACACAAACTAGAAGAAAGTGACCTAAACAGGGAAGCTACAAATGAAGAGAATTATAACATAACACAAACAGAAAAAAATCTACAAGATTTTATTATAACAATAAAAATGGAAAAGATATTTTATCTGACAGGATGTCAAAAGAAATTCGAGGATAAGAAAGAAGATTTAATAAAATGGATTATAGAGCTACCAGGAAAATCATCAGAATCTGGGAGACAAAAAGCATATATCCTACTCAACCTGTCCTTCACACTCTCAGCAACACCTATAAAAATACAGGGACTTCCTGGCAAGCAGAACATACTAACTTGGAAAGCTATTTGGTAAAAGAAGAAGGCTAGAGTTAGACTCAAGAGATCAGATTCAACTTACTAGATAGAGTACTACATGATTAAACATTTGTTTGAATATGGTTAAAAGAACAGATAATTTTGGACATAAAGGGGCCTTATAGTAAGAGGGATGCGAGATATAAGTAGTATAGTGTTTTTTATAATATATAAAATGTTAAAATACTGGGAAGATATATGTGAATGGAAAGTTTAGACATTTAAAGGTAATTAAATTTGAGAGAATTATGACTGAGAAGAATGATTTGAATACCGAGGGGAAAGTAAGCTTAAATAAGAATTTTGAAAACAGGACATATAGTGACTCAATAAGATGACTTTTATAAATATAGTTGAAATATAAACTGCTCAGAAAAGATGTTATATGTGGTTGTTATAGGATATATAAGTAATATGGTATCTTTATAATATATGAAATATGAAAATATTGTGATGGGGTATGTAAATGAAAAGTTTGGATATTTAGGTAATTAATTTTGAGAAAACTATGACTGATAAGAATGGTTTGAATACTGAGAGGAAATTAAGTTTAAATAAGAATTTTGAAAATAGGACACATAGTGACCTAAAAGATGACATTTTTCAAGTACAATTGAAACATAAATTAATTAGAAAAGATGTTATATATGGATGTTATTGTTATCTGTACAAACACAAAAAATGTTTATATCCAACCTAGTAAGTATTGAAAATATTATTATATTTATCTAATGTTGACAAAGGAGAATAACATTGGAAGAAGGGAAGATCAAGGAAACATACTATTAATTAATATATTGATCATGAAATTATAGAAATTAATTATTATTGTTTTTTCATATATATGAACCCAGACAACATGCTGTTTACTAAGCACTAAAGACTGTTATTGCAAAAAATCAATAAAATATATTTTAAAAAATATTTTCACTTATGAAGTGAAAGTGAAGTGTCCTATTGTAGGTGCAGTTGTATATCATGTTTTTTTAAGATAATCTAAAATACCTGGATTGCTACTTGAACAGACTATACATATTATATGTACTAAAGCAAATAGTATCAAACAAGAATTTCCTTCCATTTTTGTTTTTTCCATTCTGTCTTTAAGAAACATTTTTTTAAAAAAAATATGCACAACTGAGATTGGAACTGTAATAAGAAAGGAAGGGAAAAGTAAATTAACAATGGGTAAGCACTATTATGCAGATATAAACAAAAGTAAGAATTCTAGATGTAAGCAACAGTGAAAACGAGTAGGATTCTATACTATAAAGGTAAGAGTGAAATGTAAAGAAATCAGCACCATATAGTATAAAAAGCAATCCATTTTCTTTGTATTTTAATTGGAGTTCCTATTTAGAATGTTGATATCAAAAGCATTGTCAAGATGTCCATGTGGTAAGGCTTTAGATTTCCAAGGAACCTGAAGTATTGGGAAAATAAAATATTGAAGATCTACATCCCACAGTATGCAGCTTTCATCTTGACCAGGTGGTGCCTCTCCCTATAGGTCCATTTCACCATTTCTGAATACATTTCAAGCATTTAAGTGCATCCCACATTGATCTATCATATTTTTATCACACTTCTCTTCCCAATGGATCCACTCAGTAGATTTACTTCCTTTCTTATTCTCATAATAAGCCACTGAGCAAGACGGCTTTACTCCAAGTTACTCATAAATCATTATAAGTAACTGGATTTTCATCCCAGGTCTTTTTGATCTATGTCTAATGATCTCTCCATGAACAGAGGATGAACAAAAGAAACAATTTTTACAAGAACAAAATTTGTTATTCTTAAGCTCAAAAATCAAAATAAAATTATATGGCATCTATTTTTATTAGGCAAGAACTCTTTGATGATATATTCTAAGAGATACATGGTACCTACATTATTTTTACATATTAACTTGCTTATTCAAGGTGAATACTACAATAGATACATTAAAAATGCAATAGATTTTTCAAAGCAGGATTTTGAAGAAATAGTACAATATAAACTTGACATCAATACCTGTGAAAATTGTAAAAAAAAAAAAAGATAACCAATTAATGAGTTTGCATGCACTTAGAAAGGAGAAAGGTTTTTGTAAGAACCCAGTATGGGTTTATTTAAAGAAGTGTAATGTCAAATAAATCTTATTAATTTTTTTGTAACAAATGAGATTAGTAGACCAAGAAATGTTATAGATATAGTGTCTTCAGTAGGGCATCACCATAACCTGCTTCTTGATAAATGGGAACGATGGTTCCATTATTAGATGGAATTGCAATTGGTTAAAAAACCATACCCAGTGTATGGTTCTTTAATGAATTTATGTCTACATGGGAAGATGTATGCAGTGGGGGTTCCTCAGAGTTTGTCTTGGCCACTGCTCATCAACATGTTTATAAGTGGCTAAGATAAAGGGACAGAAGGGATGTTTAGCAAATTTGCAAAATGACACAAAGGCGAGGGATTGCTAACATCTCAGAAGACAGCTTGTAGATTTAAAAAGTCCTGAACATTAGACCTTTCCAACAGAAGTCAGTGAAATACAGATCAATGTAGGGTTCTCCATGTACTGTAGATAGGAAAAAGCAGATAAGTAGATATGAGTTAGCTGCTGTGTGGCTCTGCAGTAGTACTGGTGAGAAGAATGTAGGCTCCTTAGAGACCAGAAATTAAGGATGAAGCAATAGTATGTTGCAGCTGCCCAAAGAGCAAATGCATCTTCAGCTGTATCAACACAAGTATTCTGTTAAGAAGATAATAGGAAATGATTGTTCTATTCTACAATGCATTAGTCAAATTGCCATAATATAAGAAGGACGTTGAGGAATTGGAAAATATACGGAGAAGAGCAACAAAGATGGTGAGGAGCTGGAAAGCTATATGTTTTGAAGTGTGATTACAAGCCCAGACACCTTTACACCAAAGAAAAAAAGGCTAAAGGGAGACATGAGAGCAGTCTT